ATAAAAATTTTTAAAAAAGATTACTTTTAACTCCATAGTATTGAGATTTTTGCTTGCTCCTTTTTTCTTAAGAAAAACTAGAAGCCCGACCCATATATTAAACAAGACCATCTACCTTGTTGACCACTGAATGAATGGTTTACCAATGGTACACAAAGGAGGCAATTGGTATAAAGAAAAGGACCTATGGTGTAGTATTTGATTTTAGAATTTGACTTTGTGTTCTGGCCTGCATTTCTCATAAAAATTCAGTTAATAGTCAAAATACTATAAGATGGTTATGATAACTAAATGGTATAATAGACATAAAGAGACTTTGAAAGCAGTGCATCATTGTTAGATTTCGTAAGACATAGTACCTATCTTGTAGGAGTTCACAATGAGTTAACTGTTTAAGTAGTGAACCACAATACAAAAATGAAACAAATGGTATTATAGAAGTAAAGTCTTCGGTGTAGATTAAAAAAATAAATAAATAAATATATAAATTTAGTCCTAGCCAGAACAGTTAAGAAAAAGAAATCCAAGGTATCCAGAGAAAAAATAAAATTATCTGTATTCACAGATGATAGAATGCTCTATCATTAAATCCAAAGTGTTCACAAAAGAACTTCCACAGTTAATAGAAGGCTTTATCAGAATTAAGGGGCAAAATCAGAAAGAAGAAACATCCAGTTGGGATTCCATACTTTCAGTGAGAAATATGAAATGAAAATTGGAGAAGTAGTTATATGTACAGTAGCACCCGGGAGAATCAGATACCTTGGAATAAATCTAACCAGGAACAAGAAAGACTTAAACAATGAGAACTGTAAAACACTGCTGAAAAAGCTTGAAGAAGACCTAAATAGAAAGATGTTTCTTAATCATAGATTAAAATATGTAGTATAGTTAAAATGTCAAAACTACTGAAAGTAATATTTAGATGCAACACAATTCTGATATAATTTTAAAGTTGTCTTTACATAAGTAGGGAAGCCAATCTTTAACCTTATATAGAATGCCAAGAATCCCAAATAGCTAAGCAGTGTTGAAAGAGAAGAACACAGGAGAAGGAGTAATAAATTTCCAGTTTTATGGTGTTTTTAAGGTCAGTAGAGTTTTCTTTTTCTGTGAAAACAAGCAAATCACAGGAATGTTTCCATTAGTTTATAGGAATGAGAACACAGTATGACTCTCTTACCATTCAGAGATGAGAATTCACATGTGCTGTGTATGTATTACCAAATTGTACTTTGACAATAATGTAAAAGTTCTCAGTGCATTCAACAAAAAAGAGAATATACTAATACTCCTCTTTCTTTTCTTAAAACATACACTTCAAGGGATCTCTGGTGGCCTAGTGGCAAGAAGCTGCACTGCAATCCCAGAGAAACAGTTCAAATCCACCAGATACTCTGCTGGAGAAGGAGGGGCAATCTCCTCCAGTACCAGTCAGATACGATCTGATGGTACACACACACACACACACACACACACACACACACACACACGCAAAATAATAAAATAAAAATACATACCTATAAAAAACCACCAACATACACTACAGTAATCAAAATAACCTGGTACTGGTATAACAGTGGACACAGACTAGTAAGAGTCAATATTCTAGATATACCATTTTCTACAGAAGTACAAATAAAACAGACTAAACAGCTGAAACTTCAGAAAAATTAAAAACTTTGACTTGCAACCAGGAGAGGATAAAACAGATGAATAGGACCTTCTAAGAATAAAATCCCTATGTACATCCAAAAACTTCTCTAACAGGGTAAAAAGGGAAGCCATAGACTGGGAAAAAATATTTGGTAATGACATGTCTGATAAGGGACTTATATCTAGAATTTATAAAATACTCGAGCACCACAACAAGATAAAGGTAAACAACCCAGTTGAAAAATGGGCACAGGATGTGAACAGACACTTCACCAAAGAAGACATTCAGCTGGCAAACAAATGCATGAAGAAATGTTCAAAATCCCTAGC